GATGATGATGATGATGATGATGATGATGATGATGATGATGATGATGATGATGAGGATGATGATGATGATGATGATACTTACCCACATGGCAAAGTTGAAAATGAAGAGAATGTACTTGAGACATCCTGTACACTGCCCCATTGTCGCTGTCTAATTAATTGATCTGCACAAACAACACTTGGAATATTATCAAAACGAAGTAATTGCTAATCCCCAGAAACACTTCTGTAGAACACTCCGACTTTCAAATGGCTTGCAGTTTCGAGCAAGTAACAGCTTCAGAAATTAACTGACGACTGATTGTGTAAAAAAAAAAAAGCAAGAAAATAAAACCCACTAAAAATTCAGCGCTCGTTGACTGGAAAGGGGGTAGGCTGAAAGAAGTAAAACGAATGCGATCACTGACGAAGCAAGCTGTTGCGAATAATTTCCCGGTCCAAACAGGCCTACGGTTGGTTGAGTGGGAAATACGCACACAACGCGAACCTTAGCGCGAACGAACTTCCTTTCCTACTCTCGAACCCACACACTGACGGAGAAAAAGAAAAGAACAGGGTGAGAAGTGAAGAAGGGCGGGCAAGCGCTGTGCAGTCAGTGTTGTAGATCCTATCTTCTGAGAGGAAAGGCAGAAACTACGAGTTCTCCACCGAGCACAATAGAGAAAGTTATAAGAGATGTAAAGAGAAAGTTATTTATAGCTCTGGGATGAGTCGTAGCGAGATGGGGCTCACAGGCAAGGTGGAGCAGTTTTGTGTTGCTAAAAATAGACTGCTTCCCTTGGTGTCAGGTGGGTGGAAGAAACAGTGGGTGGGGGTGGTTGGGAGAAGGGAGTGGGCGTGACCCGGGAGATGCAGATGTTGGTTTTGATTGAGTGCCATAGTACGTTTATGGAGGGCAAAGCTAAGGCACAAGCTTAAAGTAGGGCCATAAAAAAGTACATCCCACTCTAAGCTCTAGGCGGTAGGCTAGTTAATTAAGCCCCTGAGTAGGCTCACTATTGCTTTTACATGATTTTTTTTGGGGGGGGAGGGGGGGAGTAGTTCACTACCAGCTCTTGGGGCGTCAATGAAGTTGGTAAATGTCACTCAGTGCTGGCTGACTCATGGTGTCAAATGGTTAAAATTCTTGAAATGAATTGGTTGAAAAGTTGTTTATAAGTACAACATTAAAGGTAGCATCGCCGGTGCCGCAAGCAATCCACTTAAGTCGGTTTGGGTACTTTTTACATCAGAGACCAAAATAAAATAGTTTTCGTTTTGTTGTTCCTATCACGAATTATGAAAAGCCAGAAAAGTGCAAGCCTTGGCCACAGCATTAAACTGCATTTTGGGGACAGTGAAAGGTGCATATTTGACAGAGCTTTCAGGGGGTACCAAAATCGAAAGTTCTCAAAAATTTGATTTAAGTGGATTGCTTGTATCAATGACGGTGTGTAGTATTCTTTTGGTTTTAGCCCCAGCCCCCTCCTTTTTTTAAAATCACTTAACCCATACAGAGATGACACCCACTGCTGTCACCCACTTTGGCACATCTGAATGCAAACATGACCAACTCGTCGAAAACATGATTTCTAATTCGAGTCGGTTCTGTTTATTTCTCCTCGACTTTTCAAAAAACCTTTATTTCGCCAGTATCTGCGGTTGTAAAAGGTAAGCTCTTCGTGCCGTTTTAAGAAGAAGACATGGGTCTGGTTCTCGAGATAACTGATAAAAACTCTTCAGATGTGAGAAATGAACTCATCTCTTCTGCACCTGACGTCAGAACTCCTAACTACTACTCCACAGGGGCCGGTAAATTACTTCATCAGCATTGTAAAAGTGAAAAGCACTGAACAAGAAATATCATCTTTCCTTTTTTGCTTTTTTTTGCTTTTTGTTGTTGTTGTTTTGTTGTTGCTGGGG